GGGTGGGAGAACGAGGAGGCTAGGAGACTGAACAGAGCGGCGGCGGGGCGTTCGACGACGACGACGACGCGGGGCGAACGGATCGAACGAATGAGTACGTTGAATGATTTCTTCGTTCGCCGCGCGTCGCGGACCGACGAGCGTCGCCGCGCGGGGGCGCGGTCTTCTCCGGCGGAGGACTTGGAGTGAGAGCGGCGACGCGCGCGCGCGCGGAGGGAGACGACGAGAAGGAGGAAGTGGTCGTCCTCGACGTCGGCGTGGGGAGAGCGCGTTGCCGTAAGAGAAGAGACGTAAAATCACGCGCGACGCGACCGACGTGACGCGCCGACGACGTCCTCGTATCAGAGGACTCAGCCGTCTCACCGCCGCGCGCGGCCGCGGATGAACACGCCCCCGCCAGCCGCCCGCCGCCCCAGGAGCACCGCCGCCACGGCGGCGCCTCTGACGCGTAGCGCGGCGGCGGCGCACCCGGCGGCCGCAACGCCCGCCCCGCAGCCGACCCACCAGCCCGTCGGCGCGGCGCGATGCCGCGCGTCGTCGTCGTCGTCGTCGTCGTCCGACGACGACGCCGTCGTCGTCGCTTCTGTCGGCACGACGACGACGACATCGTGGATCGATCGCGCGAAGGGCGTCGCGACCGCCGCGTGCGCCGCCGCCGCGCTCCTCGTCTCCTCCCCCGCCGCGCACGCGGAGCTCAACGCGCGAGAGGCGAATCGCGGGGGCGAGTTCAACCGCGGCAGCGCGCAGCAGTTCGGCGGCTACGACCTCCGAAACGAGGACGTCGTCGGCAAGTACGGCGCGGACCTCCGTCTGTCCAACTTCACCGGCGCGGAGATGCGCGGCGCGAAGCTCCGAGGCGCGAACCTCACGGGCGCGTACCTCATGAAAGCGGTCGCGTTCGAGGCGGACTTCGAGGGCGCTAACCTCTCTGACGCGCTCATGGATCGCGCGGTGCTCAACAGGCGCGTCCTCTTTTCGCACCAGACTGGTCCCCGTACGACCGCGTTGGCGCGGTGAACGCGATTCCTTGAGGACTTTACTTCCCGGCGTTCGCGTCTCTCCGCCCAGGGTCCCTCGCTGCTTTCATCAATCCCGACACACGCCCCTCGACGCCTTTCAACTCCGCTTCTGACGCCTTTGAACGAACTCCGCCCGAACTCCGTTCGTCGCTTCGCAGCGCCAACTTTCGCGACGCCATCTTAACCCGCGTGGTGTTGACGTCGAGCGACCTCGGCGACGCGAAGATCGACGGCGCGGACTTCAGCGACGCGCTCATCGACAAGTCGCAGCAGCAGAAGCTGTGTCAGTACGCGAGCGGGACGAACAGTGTCACGGGCGTGAGCACGCGGCGGTCGCTCAACTGCGGCGGCGGCGTTCGGTGCGTTCTATACAAACGTTTTTCACCCGTCCATCGGTTTCAACATTTGATCGCGTGGGTCCCTTTCAACTGACCGATGAACATTTTTTGTATGGAACGACCCTCAGGACGTCGTCGCCGTCGAGGTACATGACGGACGAGACGAGCGCCAAGCCGGAGGCGGCGTTCGACGCGAGCAGGTTCAGCGCGTACGGCACGGGGAACTAGTCGGTCGGTCGACGCCATCCGCGCGCGCGCGTACAGCTGTGCGCCTCGTCGCGAGGTGGTGGACGTGAGTTCTGGTTCGGTTCGGTACTAGCATCGTAAGTTTCTGATGAAAGTAAAGTATTTTCTACTCGAAAGTCGCGACTCGACGACGCGTCGTCACTTGTCGAACTCGTGGCGCTTCCGCTCGCCTTTCTCCGCGGTCATCCCGCTCCCCGACCCGACGACGCCGACCCTGCCGCCATCGCCCACGCTGAACATGCTCTTCGCCTTGACGCCGATCTTTTTGGACACGAACCCGGTCCGCTTCTTCCCGGCGACTTTACTCTGAAACGACGCCCACGAACTCTTCTTCGCGTTTTGCTCCGCGTCCATCTCCGCCATCCTCTGCTTCCCCTTGAACGCCTTCGCTTGCTTTCGCTTCCGCTCGCGCGTCGCCTCGTCGTCGCCCTCCAGCACGATGAGCTTCTTCGGGAGCTCCTTCTTCACGAACTCGGTGACGTCGCCGCCGACGCGCAGACGCTTCGGCGCGGGCACGCCCTTGTACACTTCCCTCGCCGCCCCCGCCGCGGCCTCCGCGCCCGCGTCCACCGACGCCGCCGACGCGACGCCGCCGCCTCGGTCGGCACCCCCCGCGGCACCCCCCCCCGGACCGACCCGCCGGACGTCCACAGTCGGCACCGTCGCGACCGTGCCGTACGCTGGGAACGACACGCGCACCGCGCCGGCGGCTTCGTCCCAGCGATCGATCCGCGCGTCGTACCACGTGCCGTCGTAGCGCGCCTGGCACGTCGCGCCGGGAGGGTAGGCCATGAGCGCCGCCGCGGTCGCCGCCGCGCGGTCAGTCGCCGCGGTCGTCGACGCGGAGGCGTGCGGCGGCGGCGGCGGGTAGGACGTCGGCGGCGGCGCGGCGGCGTCCGCGGAGGCTGCGGAGGCCGCGGCGTCGGCGTCCGTCGTCGCGGACGCGAAGAGATCTTCCGTCAGCGCGATGACCTCCGCGAGGCTCTCTCGGACGTCGAGGTACTCCGCGTTGTCCGGCTCGTCCGCGAGGAGGGATTCGACCTGGGAACGGCGACGACGCGGGGGATGAGGGCGGTCAGGCGGGCGGGCGAGGGCGCGGGACGATCGGGGAACGACCTCGATCGATCGGATCGATGCATCGATCTCATTCATTAGGGTTGATCGATCGACTCGAACACGACGGACGGGCCGCGGGTCGCACCTGCGCGAGCTGCTCCTTGTACGACGCGAGGTTCGCCGCCATCTCCTCCGCGGTCTGTGTCTCCTCTTCCGCCATGGCGCTCGCGAGAGTGGGGGTCGCTCTCGCGGCGTGAGCGCGAGTGCCGCGCGTCTCGCTCTCGCGTTCGACTTCGACGGATGACGATGACGCGACGACGAGAAAAAGCGTAAGTAAGCGCGCTTCCGCCCAGATTCTCGAGCGCGATGCACGCTCTCGCGCCCTCGCGCGTCGCCCCGCCGCGCGCGGCGGCATCGCGCGCGCGCGCGCGTCGCGCGCGCGTCGCGTTCCCTCCTCGCGCGGCGGCGCGCGCGCGCGACGTCGTCGTCGCCGCCGCCGTCGTCGTCGCGAGTCGCCGCGTCGTCGTCGCTCGCGCCGCGAAGGTGCCTTCCCAGGAGGGGAGATTCGCCCCCGCCGCGGACGACGACGACGACGACGACGAGCCCGCGGTGTTCGACCTGCGCGAGCTCTACGGCGACGACTACGATCCGGACGCGCCTTTCGACGACGAGGAGGAGGAGGAGGAGGAGGTGGTGGACGACGACGACGACGAGGACGATGACGACGACGACGACGACGTGCGCCTCCTCCCGCCCGTGCGCGCCAGCCTCCTCTCCGGCGACCCGCCCGGCCATCGCAGCGGATACGTCGCCATCGTCGGCCGCCCGAACGCGGGGAAGTCGACGTTCATGAACGCGCTCGTGGGGACGAAGCTCAGCATCGTGACGTACAAGCCGCAGACGACGCGCCATCGCATCCTCGGCCTCGTGAGCGAGGACGACTTCCAGATGGTGTTGCTCGACACCCCCGGCGTGATGCGCGAGGAATTTAACAAGCTCGACGAGATGATGTTAAAGTCCGTGCGGGTGCGTTCTATACACTGGTCCCCATACGACCCCGTTCGCGTGGTGGACGCCGATCCTGAAGGACTTTGCCCGTCGCATCTCTCCGCCCACACCTCGCTTTCAATCCCCGCCATCGACGCCTTTCAACTTCAACTGACGCCTTTCAACTCCACCCCGACATTCGCTTGTATAGAACGCGATGGCGAACGCGGACGTCCTCCTCGCGATCGTGGACGCGCGGCGCGACCCGCTGGGTAACTTCGAGGGGCTCCTGCCGGAGCGGCGACCCGGCGACGACCCGGCGCCGCTCGGGATCATCATCAACAAGTGCGACTTGCTCGGCGTCGACGAGATCAGGCGCGTTCTATCTCACACTGGTTCGGCGCGGTGCACGTCGATCCTTAAGGAGTTTTCCCGGTGTATCTCTCCGCCCACCCCATGGTTTCAATCCCGACGCGCCTCGACGCCTTTCAACTTCGCTTCTGACGCCTTTCAACTCCACCCGATATCATCGCTCGTATGGAACGACCCTCAGACGGCTGAAGAAAACGTTCGAGTCGTACCCGGGCGTGGAGCGGGTGTTTCCGGTCAGCGCGCTCGCGGGCGTCGGGCACGACGCGGTGCAAAGGTGGGCGGTGTCGAAGCTCCCGGTGGGGCCGACGCTGTACCCGAAGGACGCGATATCCGAGCACCCGGAGCGGTTCTTCATCGCGGAGATCATTCGAGAGAAAATTTTCTTACAGTACGCGAAGGAGGTGCCGTACAGCGCGCAGGTGTGGGTGTCTTCGCATAAAGAGCGCGACGGGATCAAAAAAGACCTCGTCATCGCCAAGGTGTACGTCGAGCGCAAGTCGCAGATGGGGATCATCATCGGGCACGAAGGCGCCGCGCTGAAGAAGCTGTCCACCGCCGCGCGAGTAGACATCGAGAAGTTCTTAGGTCGGCCGGTGTACCTCGACCTGAGCGTGAAGGTGCGCGAGGGGTGGAGGAGCGACGGAGACTCGCTCGAAAACTTAGGCCTGGACGATCCGAACCGGTTAGAGGCGCCGAGTTTAGGGCCCGCGCCGGACGTCGTCGCGTGAGCGCGATGCGATGCGATGCGATGCGTTTCGATTTGGTTTTTTTTCGATCAGATTTTCTACTTCTAATAACGCGCGTCCGACGCTACGGTATCACGCCGGCTTCGTCTTCTTCGTCTTCTTCTCTCGCATGTAATGCGGCACCCCCGTCCCCGGATTCTCTCTCAAGTACGCGCGGTACTGCGTCGTCGCGTACAGAGGCGCGATCGTCCGCGCGATCTTCTCTTTCCGCAGACGCGTGAGCCGCGCCTCCGTCGCGAGCGGACCGCCGATCTTCTCCAAGTACCTCTCCAACGCCGCCTCGTACGCCTTCTTCGCGCGCGTCGCGCTGGGCAGGAACCAATCCCCGTACCGATGTTTCCTGAGCGACGCGTCCTTCGGCGGCGGTTTCACGACCTCGGGGGGCGACGGCCCGTGGAAAAACGGTCTGAGCGCGCGCGTTTCGGCAACATCCGAAGCCTTCCTCGCCGTCGCGACGTCAAAGTCGTATCTCCTCGCGAGCTCCGCCGCGTCTCGCCGCCGTTTGAGCGCGATCTCCATCGCTATCTCGTCCGACATCTCCTCCTCCGCGATGCACGCGTCGCCGCCCCCGCCGTGCGCCGACGCGACGCTGACGCGCCGGCTCGGGCCGCCGGATCTGAGGGCCGTTCCATACAAAGCGATGTCGGGGTGGAGATGAAAGGCGTCAGTTGGAGTTGAAAGGCGTCGCGGGCGGGGATTGAAAGCGAGGGACCCTGGGCGGAGAGATGCGCCGGCGAAAGTCCTTAAGGATCGGCGTTCACCACGCCAACGCGGTCGTATGGGGACCAGTGTATAGAACGCGCCTGACGCCGCCGGTGAACGCGCCGTGTCCGCTGTACATGTCTTTATGCGCGGACACCTCCGCGCCCACGGGCGCGGCGGCGTCCGCGACGGAGCTCAACTCGATCACGCCCTCGTTCCGGAGCTTCGTCTCCATCTCGATAACCTTCGGGTCGAGCGCGTCGTCGTCGTCGTCGGACTCGAAGAGCTCGAGCGGGAGGTCCCTCGCGACGGTCACGCGATGCAACGGCTGCCAGTGAAACTCCGGCTCCAACGCCGCCGCGGGCGGAAGACCAGCCGTCTCGACGCTCAGCGCGGACGACGTCGAGAGCCTGCGCGTTCCGCCGCCTCGGTGCGCGCTGTTCACGCTGTCCCGCCTTCGCCCCCGCGCGTCGCCAAAGTCGTCCGACGCGACCGACGTCACGGAGAGCCGTCGAGTCCCGTCGGAGTCGCGTCTCCCGTGGTGCGTCGTCGAGAGACGACGCCGCGCGGGACTCCCGTGCGCCGCGTTCGCGTTCACGCTCAATCGCCGCGACGTCATGTTCATGTTCACGCTCCGTCGCCGCCCCATCCCCCCCGTCGCCCCGGGTCCGCCGGCACCGCTCGTTAACCCGCCGCTGACGACGGGCGCGCGTCGTCGCGCCGGCGACTTCCCGCCGACGTTTTCGACGCCGCGAAGCATCTCCGCGGCGTCCTCGTCCGCTTCCTCGAGTTTCAGCTCCATCTTCGACTTCATCTCGAGACCGGCGGCGGCGTTGGCGTCGCGCCGCGCTTTCTCCCTCGCCGCGTCGCCGCGTCGAAGCCTCTCCTCCTTGCGCCGCGCCTTCTCCTGAGGGCCGTAGTTTCATACAAAGCGATGTCGGGGTGGAGTTGAAAGGCGTCAGATGGAGTTGAAAGGCGTCGAGGTGTGTCGGGATTGAAAGCGAGGGACCCTGGGCGGAGAGACACGCCGGGAGATGAAGTCCTTAAGAAACGGCGTTCTTTCACCACGCGGACGCGGTCGTATGGGGATCAGTGTGATACTAGAACGCGCCTGACGATCCGCGCCGAAGCCTTTCTGGACGTCGCCGAGCATCCGAAACCGACGGGGATTCTTTCCCGCCATGCGCTCCGCCTCCATCTCGAGGAGACGCTCCGCGCGCTCGACCCGCGCCTCCGCGGCCGCCTGCGCGAGCTCCTTCAGCGAGCGAATCTTCCCGGCTTTCCGGTCGAACAAATCTCCGAGTAGTCTCGCCTGGCGGTCGGTCCATACGAGCGAACGTCGGGGTGGAGTTGAAAGGCGTCAGAAGCGGAGTTGAAAGGCGTCGAGGGCGGGGATTGAAAGCGAGGGATGGGCGGAGAGATGCGCCGGGCAAAGTCCTTAAGAATCGGCGTTCACCACGCCAACGGGGTCGTATGGGGACCAGTGTGACATAGAACGCGCCTGGCGGTCGGTCAGGTTCTTCATCGACTCGGGCGGCGCGTTTGGTTTTCGCCGCGCCGACGCGACGTTCGTCAGCGCGAGCGATATCGAGCCGTCGTCGTCGTCCGCGAGCGCGACGTCCTCCTCGACGACGACGCCCTCGCCGGTGAACAGCGTCGACGGAGGAAGCGCGTCGTCGTGCTCGTACGGCGCGTCGTCGTCCGAGTCCGACGGGAGAATCTGAGGGTCATTCCATAAAAAGCGATGTCGGGGTGGAGTTGAAAGGCGTGAGTTGGAGTTGAAAGGCGTCGAGGACGGGGATTGAAAGCGGGGGGTGGGCGGAGAGATGCGCCGGCGAAAGTCCTTGAGGATCGGCGTTCACCACGTCAACGCGGTCGTATGGGAACCAGTGTATAGAACGCGCCTGATTGGCGAAATCTTCGCGCTCTTCGTCGTCGTCGTCGTCTTCGCGTTCTTCGCGTTCTTCGCGTTCGCGTCGCAGCAGAGCCTCCGCGTCCGCGAGCGCGCGCGCCGTGGCCGCGCGCCGGTCGTCGTCCACGTCGACGGTCTTGAGCGACACGTGGACGTTCTTGAACGCGTCCGCGAGTCCCGGGCGCGAGAGTCGACGCGCGGCGGCGGGCGAGACGTGAGGGTGGTGGTGGTGACGTTGAGGGCCGTTCTATACGAGCGATGATATCGGGGTGGAGTTGAAAGGCGTCAGTTGAAGTTGAAAGGCGTCGCGGGCGGGGATTGAAAGCGAGGGGTGATGGGCGGAGAGACGCGCCGGCGAAAGTCCTTAAGGATCGGCGTTCACCACGCGAACGCGGTCGTATGGGGACCAGTGTATAGAACGCGCCTGATGATGATGACGACGATGGGCGATCTTCGTCGTCGGCGTCAAGTCCGTGGACTTCTTCTTTCGGTACGTCGCGTCGAGGTCCTCGAACTGGCGCGGGGGGAGGACGGGCGGGGTGAGTGAGGAGGCGCGCGGGCGGAACGACGGGACGGACGGACGGACGACGGAGAGAGAGAGAGAGAGAGAGGGGGCGGGCGGATTCGTAGAGCCAAAATTTCCCATCCATCCGTCCATCGCCGACGTGTCGACCCGCGCACCTCGAGGAAGTTCCAGGTCTTCGCGTCGCCGCCGATGCGCGCGCCGCCGCGGGCATCGCGCGCCGACCGCGCCGCCGCGCCCCGCCGCGCGCTCGCGCCCGCGCCGCCGCGCGCTCGCGCCTCCATGGTGTGCCCCGAGAGAGCGGCAGCCGAAAATAGCAGCCAGCGCGGTGGGCGAGGGTATGGGGTGCCCGGGACGGTGCGGTTTCAACAGAAAAATTTCATAGGCCGCCTTGAAAGCGCGAAAAAAATGTGAAAGAACGATTTTCATCGGCGCGGAACGTTTCAACCCATGGGATTTTTTGACACCTGAGCTTCAGCGCGCGAGATGCGAGATCTCCTCCACGTTATCCTGGTACCTGGGCCGCATATTGGCGAGCGCGCGCCGGCGAGAGATGGCGACGCACGCGGGCTGGGTCGCCCCCGCGGCGGCCTTCGCGCGCGCGAAGGTCGCGTCGGGATCGCGAGGACGGCGCGTCGTCGCGCGACGGTCGGCGCGCGCGTCGAGCGACGCCGCGACGCGCGCGTCGTTCGTCGGCGCTGCCGCGCCGACGTCCATGTCGACGACGACGCGTCGCGTCGTCGTCGCCGGGGGGCGCGCGACGAGACGCCGCCGCGCGCCGGAGAAGGAGACGCGCGCCGCGGCGCGGCATCGCGCGCGCGCGGCGCTGTCCGATCCGCCCGGCGAGGAGACGACGACGACGACGACCGCGGCGTCGTCGTCGTCGTCGTCGTCGTCGTCGTCGTCGCCGCCCGCGGCGCCGTCGTTCAACGGCGCCGCGAACGGCGCCGAGGCGCACTCGCAGACGCTTCCGCCGCTCACGCCCTCCTCGCACCAGAACCGCTTCGACCTCACCGTCGTCGGCTGCGGGCCCGCGGGCCTCGCCGCGGCGGACCGCGCGAGCGCGCTCGGCCTGCGCGTCGCGCTGATCGACCCGTCGCCGCTATCGCGATGGCGGAACAACTACGGCGTGTGGGTGGACGAGTTCGAAGATCTCGGCCTCGCCGACTGCTTCAACGTCGTCTGGCCCAAGGCGTCCGTGATCATCGACGGGCCCAGCGACGCGACGCGCCCGGAGGGGATCCCGCTCGCGCGGCCGTACGCGCAGGTGAACCGCGTCGCGCTCAAGGACAAGCTCCTGGATCGGTGCATTAAGCAGGGCGTCGTCTTCGGCGTCGCGGCGTGCGCGGGCGTCGACCACGAGGGCTCCGACCGCGGGTCCGTGGTGACGCTGGACGCGTCCGGGTGCGGCGACGACGCGCCCGCGGATCAACCGATCGAGGTGCACAGCAAGCTCGTGCTGGACGCGACCGGGCACGCGCGGCGGCTCGTGGAGTTTGAGCGGGAGTTTAACCCCGGGTACCAGGTCGCGTTCGGGATCATGTGCGAGACGGAGGAGCCGCACGGGTTCCCGCTGGACACGATGTTGTTCATGGACTGGCGGGACTCGCACTTGGACGATAAGCATCGCGCGATGAACGACGAGCACCCGACGTTTCTGTACGCGATGCCGTTCTCGGAGACGCAGATTTTCTTCGAGGAGACGAGCCTCGTGGAGCGCCCTGGGTTGGAGTTCGACGATCTCAAGGTGAAGCTTCGACAGAGGCTCGAGAAGCTCGGCGTGTGCGTGAAACGCGTGGACGAGGAGGAGTACTGCTTGATACCCATGGGGAGCGTGCTGCCGACGCTGCCGCAGCGGACGCTCGGGATCGGCGGCACCGCGGGGATGGTGCATCCGTCCACGGGCTTCATGGTGTCGAAGACGTTGTTATCCGTGCGGTCTCTCGTCGACACGCTCGCGAAGGAGTTGAAGGATGCCGAAAAAGCCGGCGTGGAGGCGAACGTGGACGACGTCGCGCGAAGCGTGTGGGGGTCCGTGTGGCCCGAGGACGAGCTCAGGATGCGAACGTTCATGTGCTTCGGGATGGAGACGCTGATGGAGCTGGATATCAAAGGCACGCGGCAGTTTTTCGAGACGTTTTTCAAGATGGAGCAAGACATCTGGGGCGGGTTCCTATCGTGGCGGATACAACCCCTCGGGCTCGTCAAGCTCGGCGCGGTCCTCTTCGCCAAGTTCAGCAACTACATGCGATTTAACTTCGTGTGGAGCGCGCTGCCGTTCATGGCGAGCTTCCTCAAGTCGTTCGCGACGGCGGACAACGCGTTCGACTCGAACAAGTGGGGCGGGTTGGCGCTCAAGAGGACGAAGCCCGGCGCGGAGACGGTGCCGGGGCAAGGCCCGATCCCTCGCCCGGACGCGGGGTCGTCGACCGGTCGCGACGGCAACCCGGCGGCGGCGCCGATCACGTCGTCGTCGCTCGACTTCGAATCCCTCGTCGGCGGCGACGTGAACACCCCGAGGGTGGCGTCGTCGCTGCGTCCCGACCGCGAGTGGATCGAGTTTCAGCAGCGCAAGGCGTTCGCGGATCAGGCGCGTTCATATTTACACTGGTCCCCATACGACCGCGTCCGCGCGGTGAACGCCGATCCTTAAGGACTTTCTCTCCCGGCGCATCTCTCCGCCCACCCCTCGCTTTCGATCCCGACACACCTCGACGCCCGCCTTTCAACTCCGCTTCTGACGTCTTTCAACTCCACCCCGACGTCGCTTTGAACGATGGAACGACCCTCAGGCGCCCATCGCGGACGCGCTCCCGCCGCTCGAGACGGACGGCGCCGACGTCGTCGACGTCCTCGTCGTCGGCGCCGGGCCCGCGGGGCTCGCGGTCGCCGCGGAGATGGCGAAACGCGGCGTCTCCGTGGGCCTCATCGCGCCGGACGCGCCGTTCGTGAACAACTACGGCGTCTGGCTCAACGAGTTCGAAGACCTCGGTCTGAAGCACTGCCTCCTGCACGAGTACGACGAGGCTCTCGTGTGGTTCAACGACTCCGACCCCGCGGGTGGGATATCCCTCGGAAGAGGGTACGGGCAGGTGTGCCGCCGCAGGCTGCGCGAGGAGCTGTTGGGGCGGTGTAAAGACGCGGGGGTGAAATACCTCCCGGGGTTGGTGGACACGCTGACGCACGGCGACGGCGCGTCGGGCGAGCCGAGCGTGGTGACCGGGACGCTTCTCGCCGGAGCGGGCGACCACGGCGGCGGCGAAGGCGACGAGGGCGAGGATGGCGCGACTTCGGCTTCCTCCAAACACAAGGCGTTCGTGTGTAAGGCCAAGGTGGTCGTCTGCGGCACGGGACATAACAGGGACATGCTGAGGTACGAGCGAGGGCAGCCGCCGGGGTGGCAGACGGCGTACGGGATCGAGGTGAAGATGCCCGGGCACCCGTTTCCGCCGAACAAGGCGGTGTTTATGGATTTCCGACAGTCGGACCCGGAAGTGTCGGACACAGACGCGGACGGAATGTGGCGCGTGCCGTCGTTCCTCTACGTCCTCCCGGTGGACGAGGACACGGTGTTCGTGGAGGAGACGTGCCTCGTCGCGCGCGTGCAGGTGCCGTTCGACGAGCTCAAGCGGCGTCTCTACCGCAGACTCTCCAGGATGGGGCTCGGCGTGGAGAAGGAAAATATCATCGAGGAGGAGGCGTCGTGGATCCCGCTCGGGGGCACGCCCCCGGTCGCGCCGCAGAGGACGCTCGCGTACGGCGCCGCTGCCGGACTCGTGCACCCGGCGAGCGGGTACTCGATCGTGAACTCGCTGCGAACGGCGCCCGCGTTCGCCGACGCCGTCGTGAACGGCTTGAAAACCGGCGGCGCCGTCGCCGCCGCGGAGGCGGGCTGGGACACGCTGTGGGGCGACGAACCGAGGCGACAGATTGGGTTTTATCAGTTTGGCATGGAGCTCCTCATGTCGCTCAGGATCGAGCAGATGCGGAACTTCTTCAAGACGTTCTTCGGGTTGCCCACGCGCCTCAGCGCGGGTTTCCTCTCCAACGACCTCTCCTCCGTTCAGCTGCTGCAGTTCGCGTTCATGTGCTTCGTGCAAGGGAACAACGCGCTGCGCGCGCTGCTGCTGACGCACCTCGTCAGCGCGGGCGCGGGCGTGCGGTTGGGGCAGGCGTACGCGTACCCGCTCCTGAAAGCCGCGGGCGTCGCGAGCGTCGGCGAGGAGGAGGGCGGCGGTGGCGGCGGCGGCGGCGGCGCTTCCGTCGCGGGCGCGATTATTAACCGCAAGGCGCCGCCGCAGGACCCAAACTTCGTGTCGTACGCGAAGGACCTCGTCGCCGCGGAGAAGAAAGGGATGATGCCGGGGTTCCAGGCGAAGGAGTGGTGGCTCGTCGGGTCTGGCGATAGCGAGCGCGCGAGCGGGGACGACGACGAGGACGGCGGCGGTTACGGCGGTGGCGGCGCCGGCCGAACGACGGAACTCCAAACCGCGGCCGTCGCCGCCGCCGCCGGCGGCGGCTCCTCCTCCTCCTCCTCCGCCGCCGCCGCCTCCATGGTCGCGGACGAGGGCAGCACCGCCTACTGGAGCAACGGCAGCGCCGCGCTCGTCGTCTCCTCCGCCGTGCGAAACACCGGCGTCGGCGCCGCCGACCTCTACGGCACGACGCGTCGCAAGTTCCTCCCGGACTCGTTGCTCGCGTCGCTCGGCCCCTCAACGGTCGTCCCCGCGTACCTCACCGGCGAGCTCCCCGGGGACGTGGGCTGGGACCCGCTTCAGATGGGCGCGCAGCGCGACCTCACGAAGCTGCGCGAGCGCGAGCTGATCCACGGCCGGTGGGCGATGCTCGCGGCGGTGGGGGTGTTGACCCCGGAGCTGACGGCGAAGCTCGGCGTCTTCGGCGCGCCGGGGTCGCACTGGTGGAACACCGCGATCAACTTCCCCACCGAAGGCGGCCTCGCCGGCGCGGAGCTGACGTACTTGGGGGAGACGATCCCGTTCGGGCTGTTTTGGCTGCCGATCATTCACCTCCCGGTGTTTTTCGTCGCGGAGATGTTGCGAACGGGGAAGTACGAGGTTGAGCGATTTCGCGGGTTGGATCGGATGTATCCCGGGGGGTCGCTGTTCGATCCGCTCGGGATCGGGCGGGACATCGACGAGACGGAGTTGAAGGTGTTGAAGACGATCGAGATCAACCACTGCCGGCTGGCGATGACGGCGTCGTTCGGGTTCATCGTGGAGGCGGCGCTGTGGGGCGCGGGGCCGCTGGATTGGTTGCCGTGACGACGCAAGCAGAGAAGGAAAAAAAAGAAGACGGAAGAAGCGTTCGATAATAATACACCAATACACCAATACACCACGCCATCGAAACGAACAACACGAGTCGCGAGTCGCGAGTCGCGAGGCTGCCGCGCGCGCTCGACCCGCGACTCACCGCCGCACGAACTTCGTGCACCCGACCGCCGCGCCCGACGCGTGGTGATTCTCCACGAGGAGCGACCGATCCGCCCTCGGCGCGAGGCTCTTGTTCACCATGACCCCCAAGTTCGCGTCGCACATGGGGACGTGCCCGCCGTAGCCGGGCGGGAACGGCGTCGTCTCCAGGCCCAGACCGCCGCGTCGGTCGACCTGGTTGTGCAGCGCGTCGCTCCTCTCCGCGAGCGCGGCGTGCTTGTACCCGAACGGGCCGGCGTTCGGATGTCCCGACAACGCGCCGCCCGCGCCGCCGCCGCCGCCCGCGCCGCCGCCCCCTCCCCCTCCTCCCATCATGCGCTTGCCCGTCCGCCGCGCGCGTCCCGCGGCCTCCTCCGTCCCGCCCTCCATCTGCGCGCGCGCGGTCGTCACCCAGGTCTGGTCCCCGCCTCGGCGCAGCCTCGGCGCGTCGGGATCGCGCGGGCCGGGACCGGGAATGTTAGGCAAGCCGCCGACCGCGGGCGAGCGCGTCCCGCGCTCGATGTGATGCCCCGTGATGTCGTGCCCGCCGAGCGCGGTCGACGGCGGGAGTAACCCCGCGCCGAGCGCGCCGCGCTGCGCAACGTGATCGACGTAGTGCTTCTTCTGAGCGCGCACGACGTTGCCGTAGTCTCCGAACACGTTGTCCTCGGGTTTGAACTCATCGACGAGATCGCCGCCGAGCACGCGCGCGTCGTCGTCCGCGCGGCTCGACATCGGGTAGAGCACGGAGTGATGCGGCGGCGGCTTCGGCTCGACGTACCCGTGGTTTAGGATTTCGTCCATCGCGGAGGGAGGGACGCGTCGGCGCGACGCCGATAGTGCGCGCGTTCAAACGAACGCGTCCGATCTTCGCGTCATCGCTCGCGTTGACTTTTGAGGCACTCCGACGCAGTCGTCGGTTCATTCATCAGAGACCGTCGCGCCGCGATGGAGTCGCTCCTCGGCGGCGACCGCGGCGGCCGCGGCGGCGTGTCCCCCATGATCGAGATCATCGGCGAGGAGCGCGCGCGCTCCTCGAGCGACGCCGGCGGCAGCGGGCCCGCAGGGCCCGGGCCCCACCATGGGGATCGACCGACGAGCGCGGAAGATTTCTTCGCGTTTCTTCAACAGTACGCCGCGATGGGAGGCTCGCTCGATCCAGACGACGCCCCCGAGGAGCTCGCGCCCGTCTTGAGGGCGCTGACCGAGGAGACGGGGGGACCGGAGGGGCTGCGAGCGATGCTGTGTTCGGACCCGACCGCGGCCGCGGGAGGAGGAGGAGGAGGAAGTCGCGGCGCGCCGCCGAGTAGGAACGCGCCATCATCGTCCGCCTCCTCCGCGAATAATAATGATCTCGAGATGGACGACCGCGAGGAGATCCGCCCCGAGCCCGGGTTCGTCGTGAAGACGATCGACGACGCGGGGAGGAAAATCTTCGTCAACGTGTGCGGGCACGCGAAGATCGCCGCGCCGGGGGACGCGGGCGAGTGGAAGGGCGGCGGCGGCGGAGGCGGAGGCGGAGGCGAGGACGACCACGGCCAGCTCCCACCCGACGTGGAGACCGCGCTCGCGAACTTGGACGACCCGACGCAGACGCAAAAGCTGCGGTTCCCTCTGAGCGTCTCCGAGGGGCGGAACGAGCTCGACAAGTCCGGCGCGCCGTGCACGGTGTACGACGCGGTGTTCAACGACGACGTCGTGAAGCAAGCGATCGCGTTCCGCAGGCTCAAGGTGTTCCTCGTGGAGCTGTGTCTGCAGTGGGTGTCGCAAAAGTACGCGTTGTCGTTGGATCCGAAGTATAAGCTGCCGCATCGGAAGTACATGGGCGGGGACGCGCCGCCGCCGCAGATGATCCGCGCGACGAAGAAGAAGAAGGCCATGATCGAGGAGTTGGAGGAGGTGGACGAGGAGCCGTCGTTTCCGTTGCATCCGAAGCCGCTGCCGAAGTGGGAGGAGAAAGCCGCGACGGGCGGCGGCGGCGGGGGAGGGAGTCGAGCGAAGGCGAAGGACGGCGCGTCCGCCGCGACGACCTCAGGTCTCGCCGGCGCGTTCGAGGAGAAGGCGAAGATCTCGGCGATCGACGACGGCGGCGACGGCGGCGGCGACGACGACGCGCGCCCTCGCAAGACCGCGAAGAAGACGTCAGAGCAGCCGAAGACGAAGGTGCGTTCTATACACTGGTCCCCATACGACCGCGTTGGCGTGGTGAACGCCGATCCTTAAGGACTTTTCCCGGCGTCTCTCTCCGCCCACCCCTCGGTTTCGATCCCCGCCATCGACGCCTTTCAACTTCAACTGACGCCTATGAACTCCACCCCGACTTTCGCTTGTATAGAACGGCCCGAAGAAGACGTCGACGCGAAAGCCGAACGCGGCGGCGACCGCCGCATCCGCCGCGGACGCCGCGACGGGCGGCCTCCCCGAGATTACGCACGAGGTCGAATACGTGAACCGCCCGGTGACGGACGTTAAAGTAATCGTGAACGTCCCGGAGGGCGTGGACCCGAACGCCATCAGAGCCGCGATCGTGATGGAGGGGGTCACCGTGGAGATGCCGACGCGGCGGCCGCTCGAGGTGCGGTTGCCGTTCAATGTCGACGGGGATCTCGCGACGGCGGAGTACGTCACGACGACGCGCGTGCTGACGATATCCGCGCCGTATAAGAGCTACGAGGACGTGGTGAGGGAGTACGAGGAGCGCGTGGGGAAGGAAGCGGCGAAGGTGAAGCTCGATTCGAGCTTCTTGGAGCTGTGACGCATCGCGTCCCTCGATCTCTAGCTAGCTCTAGCCCTAACTTTTTAAGTGTAAGACCCGAAACCAAACCCTACACACTTGCATACCTCCGGATCCCAGGGAGCGCCGTTCGCGCGCGCCCACTGAAGCACCTCCAGGTGGCCGCCACTCGCGGCGTTGGCGCAAGTCCACGCGTCCCACGGAGCGCCGTTTGCTCGCGCCCACTGGAGCAACTCCAGGTGGCCGTCACCCGCGGCATAGCTGCAAGTCCTCGCGTCCCACGGGCAGCCGTTCGCGCGCGCCCACTCCAGCACGTGCAGGTGGCCGCCTCTCGCGGCTTTGATGCAAGCCCACTCGTCCCACGGGCATCCGTTCGCGCGCGCCCACTGCAGCACCTCCAAGTGGCCGCCCCTCGCGGCACCGGTGCAAGTCATCCCGTCCCACGGGCATCCGTTCGCGCGCGCCCATTGTAGCACCTCCAGGTGGCCGCCCCTCGCGGCGAGGGCGCAAGTCATCGCGTCCCACGGGCATCCGTTCGCGCGCGCCCACTGCACAACCTCTAGGTGGCCGCCTTCCGCGGCAGTGGTGCAAGTCCCCGAGTTCTGAGAAGCGCCGTTCGCTCGCGCCCACCGCAGCACCTCCAAGTGGCCGCCTCTCGCGACCCATACGCAAGTCATCTCGTTCCACGGACAGCCCTTCGCTCGCAACCACTGTAACATCACCAGGTGGCCGCCTCTCGCAGCTCCGGAGCAAACATCCACGCCCCAGGGTTTAGGCGACGGGCAACCTCGTTCCATCGCCCACTTCGCGACCTCCACGTTCCCACCCCTCACGATGCACAAGAACGTCTTCTCGTTCCACGGACACCCTCACTCCTTCGCCCACGCCAGCCTGCCGATCGACACGACGAAGTTGGGCACCCTCGCGAGCTCTCTCCTCACCGCCGCGACGTCCCTCACGTCGCCGACGGGCGATTCGAACACGACGTCGCGCATCTTCCGGTTCACCGTCGCGAGCACCGCGAGGTCGCCGTCGTCGAGCCGCAAGAGCACGTGCTCGGTGAAGACATCGTTCGCGTCCGCGTGGAGTCGCTCCAGAAGTGACGGCGAGCGCGCGGCTTCGCACGGCGATCGAACCTCCTCCTCCAACGCGGCGTTCGCCCGCCGCGGGTCGTCGATGGATCTGCCGTCGTCGTCGTCGATCGCGCGCGCGACGGCGACCGCGAGGCGCGCGCTCCGTCTTCGCTGCGGAGGCGACATCGCGGCGTTCGCGGCAGGGGGCACGACGCGAACCCGCGGCGGTCGAGGACGTCAAAAGCTGGCGTCGTCGACGTCGTGCGACGGATGATCTAGATGAGTGCACCCTGGCGTTCTGTTTAGATCTGTTGTTGAGTTTTACATTATTGCATTGCAGGATTACTTCACGAGCGCGTCGTCACGTCAACGCGCGCTCGCGTCGTCACGTCAACGCGCGCTCGCGCCGTCTCCGCGCGCCGTCTTCGTCGCGCGAACGCCCGTCGCCCATGCGCGCGCTCGCGAGGATCGCGAGGGACGCCGCGCGCGCGCGCGCGTCTCCTCGCGTCGCGTCGGCGCCCGCGCCCGCGCTCGCGAACGCGCGTCGCTCGGCGCTCGGCGGCGTCCCCGTCGAAAAAACTTCCGCGTCCGCCTTCTCTTCCGCGCGGGCGCGCGCGACGTCGTGGACGTCGCGCTGGCTCGCGCGACGAGGCGCGCCGTCGGCCGGCGTCTTCCCGCCGCCGGGTCTGCGGAGAGACGACCCCGCGAGCGGCGGCGAGGGGTCGACCGCGCGGAGGTGCGAGATAGGTCGTCCGAGATCCACGCCACTTGTCTTTTTTACCCATTCGCAGTCGTCACATCACGCGGCGTTCGCGTTCGTTCGCCTTCGTCGACTCATCGCTTCTTCGTCTCGTTCCGCACGACGACAGGAGCCTCCCGGGCGCGACCGCCGGGTTCGCCGCGACCGCCGCGGTCGCCGTCGCCGCCGTGACCGCGTCCACGGCGACGGACCCGTTCTACGACGCGATCGCGAAGCACCTCACCGTGGGCGAGATCAAGCAGGCGCGTTCTCGAGCTCCCCGATGCGAACGTTTTTCACCCGTCCCGTAGGTTCAACGTTTGATCGCGTCCCGTTTCAACTGACCGACGAATGCACTTTTCCGTCCATACATCCCAATTACAGATTCTCTCCGACGCGTCGATCGACTTTCGAGACTGCGTGGAAAAGTCCGAGCTCGTGGCTCGAATGCGCGAGCGCGCGCATCTCATCCCGCTGAGGACGCGTGAACGCCTGGACGCTCTGTTGCAGACGCTCGTGGACAGCAACGTCGCGCGCTGTCAGGAGACGACCAAGGAGGCCTTCGCGCGAATGCACGACGACGAAAACTTACTTCCGAGCGAACTGAACACCGTGAACTTGTTCAAGCGTTGCAGTCAGTCCGTCGTGCACATCACGACGACCGCGACCGCGCAGCGAATCTCCCCCGGAGGTTTCACCCTGGACGTGTTCGAGATCCCGCAGGGCACGGGCAGCGGGTTCGTGTGGGACGCGCACGGGCACTTGGTCACGAACTTTCACGTGATCAAAGACGCGAGACGCGCCAAGGTGCGTTCTATACACTGGTTCCCATACGACCGCGTCGGCGTGGTGAACGCCGATCCTTAAGGACTTTTGCCGTCGTTTCTCTCCGCCCGCCCCTCGTATTCAATCCCGACACACCTCGACGCCTTTCAACTCCACCTGACGCCTTTCAACTCCACCCCGACGTTCGCTTGTATGGAATGGCCCTAAGGTCACGACGAGCGACGGCGAGACCTTCGACGCGACGCTCGTGGGATACGAGGCGGACAAAGACCTCGCGGTGCTGAAGCTCGTCGAGGGAAGCCGGAGCGACCGCGGCGGCTCGAAACCCGGAAAAAATCCTAAACCCCAAACCCTAAAGCCGCTGGAGGTGGGCACGACGCAAAACCTTCGCGTCGGCCAGAGCGTCTTCGCGATCGGCAATCCGTTCGGCCTGGACCAGACGCTCACGTCCGGCATCGTCTCCGGCGTCGGCCGCGACATCAAGTCCATCACCGGACGCCGCATCCGCGACGTTGTGCAGACGGACGCGGCGATCAACCCGGGGAATTCGGGCGGACCGTTACTGGACAGTAACGGTCGCCTCATCGGCGTCAACACGGTGATCTACTCCCCGAGCGGCGCGAGCAGCGGCGTCGGGTTCGCGATCCCGTCCGACACCGTCCGCAGAGTCGTCAACCAAATCATCCGACACGGACGCGTCCTCAAGGCTGGCATGGGCGTGCACTGCGCCGCGGACCAGATCGCGCGGCAGATGAACGTCGACGGCGTCGTCGTGCTGGAGGTACCCGACGGGTCCGGCGCCGCCGCCGCGGGAATGCGGGGTTGCTCCAGGGACGCGAAGACGGGGCAGGTCGTGCTCGGGGACGTCGTCGTGGCGGTGGACGGTGGGCGGGTGTCGCACGTGGAGGATCTGCTCGCGAGGGTGGAGGATCGCGTCGTGGGGGATGTGGTGCGCGTGACCGTGGAGCGGGAGGAGGGAGGGAAGCGGAGAGAGGTGGACCTGAAGGTGCGGCTGTCCGAGCTGAAATCGAGGTTGTGATGATAACGCGAGCGATCGCGATCGCGGTAAAGGAACGTGCGTTCGTTCGTTCGTAGTCTGCTCACTTCCGCGCGAGCGCGAGCCGACGAGCGCTCGAAACGCGCACGTCATCGCCACCATCGCGACGAGTCCGCCCCATTCCATCCATCTCTGGAAATCGAACGCGCGCGCGAGAGCCTCGTAATCGTACTCGTCGGACGTGCCGCCGCCGCCGCCGGGATCGTACGCTCGCATCAACGGCACGGACGCGGCAACGAATCCCCAGTAAAACGGCGACGCGTACTGCGCCCAGAACAACCACGTCGGTAAGTTCCTTCGGTTCGCGGTGAAGCCGTTGAACAGCGAGAGCACGCCGAGGGCGCCGCCGATGACGGCGTTGGCGGCTTGATGCGACGTCGCGCGCGACGCGATCGCGCCCATCAACGCGTCCGTCGCGAAAAACGCCAAAAGCACCGCGAGGAGGAACCTCCCGTAGTTTGCCCCAGCCCGCGCGATCGAATCGGTCGGCGACGTCGCGAATCCGGCGAGGACGAGGGTTATCGTCGCGAAAACGCACGTCGCGAGGCCGTTTATTAACCCCCACGTGAGCGCTTTCGAAGCCGCGTACGGAAAGACCGAGTACATGTTCTCCGACGTTTCGCCGGAGAATATCTCCGCGTCCACGACGTACACAGGGACCGCGGCGTTCGCGTTCAACGCGCCGACGACGATCACCATGAACACGAACGAGAGCTGGTACTGCACGTTCTCGGGGCCGCTGTTTCGGACGTCCAGGAACACCACGCCGACGAGAACGCCCATGAGTATCGCATTGCCGAAAATCGCGAGAAGTACATCGCGGTTCCTTCGCGCGAGTCGCGCGTCGCGCGAGAACAGCACTCGAAACTGCCGCCACGCGCACGTCACGCGCGTCTCACGCGGGCGCGCTCCCGCGGCGGTGATCGACCGCGGAGACGTGCCCGGACGCGCGATCGCGACGTCCAAGGCGGCGCGCATCGCGGGGGCGACGAAGTCCTCGTATCGACGCCACAAGTCGTTCGAAACGTCGACGCGCGCGGCGCGACCCTCCGCGACGTCGCTCTCGCTCTCGTCGACGGGAGTGATGAGATCGAGCGCGTACTCCGCGATCGGGACCCCGCGCGGCTTCGCGTGCCCGAGCGCGGCGAGGTAGTCCTCGACCCGTTTCGGCGTCGGCGACGCGGCGGCGCCGCCGCCGCCGCCGTCCAGAGAGTTAAACACGCAGCGCCCGCCGCGCGCGAGCAACACGAGGTCCGTGAACGCCTCGAACGCCCTCGCGCGCGTCGCGTGGATCACGCACGCGAACGAGCACGAGAACGCGCGTCGCAGTCTCGACAGCGTCTCGATCACCGTAGCCGCGTCAGAGCTGCTCAGTCCGCTCGTGGGTTCGTCCATGAAGCACACGCTCGCGCCGGCCACGAGCGCCTTCGCGATGCTCAGCCGTCGCCGCTGCCCGCCGCTGAGCCCGCGCGCACTTTCTCCTCCTCCCCCGCGGTTCGCGTCGCCGACGACGTCGTTCGCCACCGCGGAGAGACCGCAGAGCTCGATCGCTCGTCTCGAGTGATGCGCGCGTTCCGTCGCGCGCGCGCGCCCCGGTTTGAGGTACCCGTGATCCGCTCTCAGCGCGCACGCGAACGTCACCGCCTCGAGCACCGTCTCGTGCGCGCATAGGACGTCGTGCTGCGGGACGTACGACGTGAGGCGAGGGATGTGCTCGCCGCCGTCGTCGCCGCGGCGGCGGCCGTTGAAGTACACGTCGCCGCCGACTTCAACGGGTGGAGTTGAAAGGCGTCAGTTGGAGTTGAAAGGCGCCGAGGGCGGGGATTGAAAGCGAGGGACCCTGGGCGGAGAGAGACGACGGCGAAAGTCCTTAAGGATCGGCGTTCACCACGCCAACGCGGTCGTATGGGGACCAGTGTGAGATAGAACGCACCGACGGCGGCGGCCGACGGCCGCTTTCGACCCGCGAGCAGGTCCAGCAGCGTGCTCTTGCCGCACCCGCTCGGGTCCATGATGGCGACGAGCGACCCGGGGCGGATCACGCCGTCGATCGGGGACACGATCGTCTTCGCGGACGCCGCCGGGCCCGGGCCCGGGCTCGGGCTTCGAAGCGCGTCTTCTTTTCCTCCTCCTCTCGCTACTCTCGTCGTTTCGGTTTTTTCCCGCGAGGGCGAGGGCGTGACGGCGACCGCGAAGGAGACGCGCGCGAACGCGACGGCGACCGAGTATCGCTCGCCGAGTGCCATCGCGCCGCGCGCGCCGCCGGCGTAGACGGACGGATCCGCGTACGCGCTCTCGTCCGTCGCGCCTGAGGTCGGGAGACGGGGTGGGGCGAGGGCGTGGGCGAGTGGTTCAAGGCGTCTGGGACGAGGAGACGCGCTCGGCGGCCGAGCGGAGGCGGCGGGGCGGGCGGGAACGGGCCGGCGAGGGAGAGGACGAACGCCTCGTCGTCCGCGTCGATCGTCCGCGTCGTCGTCGGCGATTCGATCGCGTTGGCGTCGTGCTCGTCGCGTCGCGACGGCATCGCGACGGCGGAGTCGCGGAGGGAGTCGCGCGGAGTGGTGTCCCCGGGGACACGTCGAGCCGCGGTCAGGTGTCCGTTTCTCGGACAGGACACAAAAGTTGTTCACCCATCGCCCGGTTTCAACATTTGATCGCGTCCCCTTTCAACTGTCCGGTGAACTTTTTTTGTGTGGAATGGCCCTAACTAACAACAGATTAACGGCAAAGTCGTCCTCGAATGTCCTCGGAAGTCTCCCACTGCGCGACGCGCGCGGGGTCGAGACGTCGCCGCGCGCGATGGCGGACCGCGCGAAGCCCGAGTCCACGTTCAGCGTGAACTTCGACACGTCCATCGCGTCGTCGGCGCCGGCGCCGTCGCGGCCGCGGCGACCCGCGGGCCGCGGCGACCGCGGGGCCGCGGGCGACGGAGGCGGAGGACGCGGCGCGCGCGCGGTCGCGCCCGCGGTGAGCGACGTCGCGAACGTCAGCGACCTCGACGGGTTCGACCTCGCGGAGCCGGACGCGATCGTCGCCGGCTCGCTCGCGCGCCGCAGCAGCGAGAGCGACACCGAGTCCAGCGTCCCGGTCCAAGCGTACGGACGGAAACCTCCGGTGTGGTCGCTCAGCGCGATGCAACATCGTCACACGATTCGCGAGGGCGGCGACACCGCGGAGAAGCTCTTCGCGGAGCTGCTGCAGAGCTCGCAGGCTGCGCTCGAGGCGGCGGAGAGGGAGAAATTCGACGCCATCTCGCGCGCGGAGGAAGCGGAGCGCGCGTCCGCGGCGAGCAGCGAGCGCGAACGGCGTCTTCTTCGCGCGAGCGGCGGCGGCGGCGGCGGCGGCGGCGGCGGCGGGCGATACGATGCCGACGCGTCCAGCAGCGTCGCGACGGACCCGCCGGACCTCGCGTCGCTGTCCGTGAGCGACACCGCGCGCAGCAGGGACGCCGCCGCGGTGAGGAACGCGTACGCGAAGTTGCCGTGCGCGAACGAGAACGAGAGGCCGAGCGCGTCGGGCCGCGGCGGCGGCCGCGGCGGCGGCGGCGCGGGGTCGTCCGTCGTCTGGCGCAGCAACGACGCGGCGAGCGCGTACGACGCGCCGCTGCCGCCGCGGCCGTCGTGGAGCGTCCTCGGCATGGCCCGACGCGCGCAGACGCCCGAGGCGGCGGCGAGCGAGAGAGCCGAGCGCGACGCCGCGGACGCGAAAGCGAAGGCGGCGGCGGCGAAGAAGAAGACGTCGACGCGCGTCGCCGCGGCGGTCAAATCAGGCGCGTTCTATCTCACACTGGTCCCCATACGACCGCGTCGGCGTGGTGAACGCCGTTCCTTAAGGACTTTCTCTTCCGGCGTTCGTCTCTCTCCGCCCAGGGTCCCTCGCTTTCAATCCCGACACCCCTCGATGCCTTTCGACTCCGCTTCTGACGCCTTTCAACTCCACCCCGACATCATCGCTCGTACGGACCCTCGACCCTCAGAGTTGTTGTCGCCGTCGCTCGCGCTCGCGCGCGCCGCGGAGACGGCGGACGTCGCCGCGAACCGCGCGGAAACGCTCGCGGGGGCGATGCGGACCGTCGCGGAGCTCGTGGAGGAGGGGAGGATAACGGACCCTGGGGAGGCGTTGCGGAAAATCCGCGACGTCGCGCGACGCGCGGAGAAGACGTGTCGCGAGGTGGAAGCGGACGCCGCGCGCGGCGGGGGGCTCGGCGTCACGTCGAAGAAGTCGCTGGAGGGGATACACGAGTGAGCCGTCCCTTTCCGCCGTCGTCGTCGTCGTCGTCGTATCTTATAGTCGTAGATTTTGTCGCTTTGTTATCGTAGTCGGGAGCGGCGCGCGCGGCGGCGTTCTGTACAACCGTGGTCTACAATCCTGTATTTCTTCCAGTCGCGGGCGAACAGACGCGCGCGGTGATCGCGAGCGTGCAGTGACAGCCTGTCGTAAAATTCCTCGACCGCGTCATAAATTCGCTCACTCACGATCACGCGCACGCCTCGTCGATCGCACGCGCCATGGACATCGATCAAAGTTTAGACGCCATGATCAAGGCTGCGCCGAAGAAGGGCGGGCCGAAGAAGAAGCCGGCCGCCGGGAAGAAGAAGACCCCGGTCAAGAAGACCGGCGGCGGCGTCCGCGCCAAGGTGATCGCGAAACCGCGTCGCGGCGGCCAAGGTGGTCGCGCGCGCGACGTCGCGATGGCCGTCGACGACGCGTGGCAGCACGACCGCTTCCAAGGCGGCAATCGCGGACCCAGAGCGGGCGGCGGCGGCGGCGGCGCGAGGCTCGTCGTGTCGAACCTTCACTTCAACGTCACGAACGCGGACGTCAAGGTCCGTACCGGGCGACGACGCGGCTGATCCGAAGCCGCGCGCGTGCAATTAATTCTTGAACTTCTTGACTTTCCCGCCGAAAGGACGAACGCCGATCGCGCCGATCGCGCGTTCCCTGGATGGTTATTTCCCTCCCGTCTTCCTCATCGATCATCGAAAATGGATGGACGACGTTTTCCGCGATACTTCTCCGCGTTTGATGTCACTTCGCGGACCGATCGAGTTTGGATCTTGGACGACCGTCGAATCCGCGAGATCTCTCGAAGTTCGCTTCTTCGAGAACTGAAATCGATCAATCTTTCGCGCTTGGCTGGGTGGCTCGGACGAGAGAAAAATCGAACGAAACGTCGAACGCCGTCGACGCCTTCGCGCGCGGATCGATCGCATAATACATCATGGATGGACCCTCACCCAATAAAACTCCCCCACCACCAACCTCCATCCGTCCGTCCACGTCTTCTTTTCATCACGACAGGAGCTGTTCCAGCAAGTCGGCGCGGTGAAGAAAGCCGGGCTGAACTTCGACGAAAACGGCCGAAGCAAGGGCACCGCGGAGATCATCTTCGCGTCTCCCGCGTCGGCGCAGAAGGCGATCCAGACGTACAACGGCGTCAAGCTCGACGGCCGACCGCTCAAGATCGAGCTCATCGGCGGCGGCGGCGGCCTCGGCGGCAGCCTCGCCGGGCGTTTGTCCGGCGTCGGCGCCGGCGGACGGACGGTGACGTTCAACGCCGGACGCGGCGGATCAGGCGTCCGCGGCGGACGGAAAGTCGTCGCCAAAGTCGTCAGCGCGCCGCGTGGAAAGAAGGGCGCCGCGGGCGGCGCTAAGGGCGCCGGCGGCCGCGGCGCGAAGGGCGGCGGCCGCGGAGGTAAGGGTGGGCGCGGGCCGAAGCCGAAGAAGGCGACGCCGATGACGCAGGAGCAGCTCGACGCGCAGCTGGACTCGTACAAGGCTGGCGCCGCCGCCGCGCCAGCCGGCGACGTCGCGATGATGGAGTGACGACGCCGAGTCGGGATGAAGAGCGACGCGACGCGGCGTTCGCTCGCGTGTACAGATTGCTCGTGAGTAGGTCTTTCATTCAACGAAGCGCGTCGTTCGTGTTCCTTCTTCTCTCTCGACTCGATCGATCGCGATCTCTCTCGCGCGGACAGAACTTCCTTCTCAGTCGTCGCTTCTCCGTCCATCCATCGACCTCGCACGTTCTTCATTCCACGCGACTACCTACTTCGTCGTCGTCGTCGCTACGACGCCTTGACGCGGTCGCGCGCCCTCGGCGGCTTCTGCGTCAGCGTCAGCCACATCCACACGATGAACGCGAACGCGTGCGCGATCGCGATGATCAAAACCCCCATCCTGAGCGCGCTCACCTCGCCGTCCACGCGCGTCCAGTCGCTCCATCGCATTATTTTTTCCGCGCTCGCTTCAACGTCGCGCGCGCGCGCCCTCGCCCGCCGCTCGGTCGCCGTCCGCTCGCCGCGGCTTCGGCGTTCGCTCGCTCCTCCTCGCGAGCGCGCGTCTGCGCGCGCGCGCGGAAGTCGCTCGTCCGCGAGCGTCGCGCGCGGCGTGCGCGGCGCTGATTGGAAGATCCGACGAAGACGCGAAAAGTTGGAGAAGAAGCAAACTTCCACGCGCGGCGTGACTCAGCCATCACACCGCCCGCCGCGGCCCGCCGCACGCGCTCGCGCCCGTCCCCGCGAACGACGCGGAAGAGGGACGTCGCGCCTCCGCCTCGACGAAGAGGACGGTCGCTGAGGCGCGCGCGGTCGCGGAGCCCGAGCGGCCGCGCGGACGGGACGCGAGCGGTGCGCGCCGTGCGGTCGTCGTCAACGTTCGACGCCTCGAGGCGGCATCATCGAGCGATCCGGCGGGTCCCGACCCCGACGCGACGCGACCTGACCGACCATGTCGAGCGTGAGCCGATGGGCGAGCGCGATGAAGGAGTCGTCCAAGCGCATGGGCGCGAAGCTGAACGAGAAGATGAGGGAAGCGACCGGCGGCGGCGGCGACTCCGCGGCGTCCACGCCCGCGTCCACGCCCTCGCGCGGCGGCCGAGGAGAAGGAGGAGGAGGAGGCTCGGAATCGCGCGAGGGAAGCCTCCGCGGCGGCGGCGACGTCGCCGCGCGTCTCGCCGCGGTCGCCGCCGCGGCGAAAGCCAAGGACGACGCGCAGTTCGTGAAGCTCCCGATCGCGTCCGCGAAGAAGCTGCGCTTCTACGACAACGCGGACCTCGCGGAGATCATCGCGCGGCATCTCGAGGAGAAGCGTTCCATCCTCGACGACAACGCGAGGGTGCTGCGCGCGCTGGAGGACGCCACCGGCGGCTCGATGGCCGCGCTCGCGAAGCTCGAGGCGATGGACGCCGCGAGCGCGGGCGGCGACGGCGGCGCGACCGCGGCCGCGGCGGTCCGCGCGAGGAAGACGGAGGACGGCGTCAACCGCGTGATGCTCGTCGCCGCCGGCGAAGAGATCAAAACCTTGCGCGGAGAGCTCGAGGAGTTGAAACGACGCGGCGGCGCGACGGTCGACGTTTCATCTTCTGAACCGGTTTCGGAGGAGGAGCGAGAACGACGAGAACTACGAGAGCAACAGCGCGAAGCCGAGGCGGCGGCGGCGATCTCCGCCGCGGAAGCGCGCGCCGCCGCCGCGGAGGACGAGCTCCAGAAACTCGCGTCGCGCGCGGAACACGCGGAGTCGTCGCTGAGCGAGGCGAGGACGGCGCTGAAGCAGGCGAAGGGCGCGGCACTTCGCGCGGAAGCGGAAGCGGAATCGGCGAAGGCTGCGAAGGCGAAGGCGGCGTCTGTGCCGTCGGAAGACGAAGCGACGCGCGCGGAGGTGACGACGCTCCGGGCTAAAAACGCGGCGAGCGCGGAGAAAATTTCGACGCTCGAGAGCGACCTCGCGTCCGCGCGCACCGCGACGCGAAAGCTCGAGGGCCTTCTCAAGAGCGCGGAGAAGGAGTATAGAGCGGAGGTGGACGCCGCGGAGGCGCGCGCGGAAGACGAGAGGACGCGCGCGGCGGCGTTGGAGACCGACCTCGAGGCGGCGAAGCGAGAGACGAAGGAGACGCTGATCGACGCGACGAAGCGCGTCGCGGCGGCGAAAAAAAAGGCGGACGCGGAGATGAAGAAGGCGATCGAGAAGGCGGAAACGGCCGCGAAGAAGGCGTTACATGACGCGAGATCGGACGCGGCCGCGGAGATGGAGGTCGCGAAGTCCGCCGCCGCGGACGCGCTCGACGCCGCGAACGCCAAGCTCTCGGACGCGACCGAGCGCGCGCACTGGCTCGAGAGCAAGCTCGTCGAGGATGCCGCGACGGATGAGAGCAAGAAGCGCGAGGACGACGCCGCGGAGGGCGCGTTGAAGCGCGAGATCGAGCGTCTGACGGAGGAGAACAAGAGGATGGAGGGGGAGTGCGCGACGCTTCGCGAGAACATCCGGGCGGAGTCGAAGATGATGTCGGACAACGCGATCAAGCTCGGCAAGGAGCTTCTGGACGCGAAGAAACGTCTGGGCGCCGTCGCCGGCGAGCTCGACAACGTGAAGAAGGTCAAAGAAGAGATCGCGGCGATGTTCGAGGAGAAGTCGAACGAGGCGTCCGCGACGGCGGAGCGACTGCGAACGTCCGAGGAGAAGTGCGAGTACTTCTCGAAGGAGCTCGCGAGCGCGATCTCGCAGAGCCAGGAGATTCGCGAGGAGCTGATGCGCTCGAAAGCGGCGGCGGC